AGAACAGTCCCAGTCCTGCTGGAAATGCTGGTCCCAGCTGTTTCAGCGCAGGGTCGCCCCCTCCTGGCCACCCGAGGAATGTCAGTCCTGGGTGTTCTGGGGCAGGGAGAGAACCGGCAGCAGAAGCTCCTGTGTCTGGTCTGGGTGCTCCAGTGCTTAGTGTTGGGACAGGTGGGGGCCAAGTGATAAAGGGGGGCTGGGCCACCTATCAGCCTTGGTGGGCTCCCTAAACCCCTGTGCACCCACAGGGCACCGTCGGGGTCCAGACTGACCTTTGCCAGACACTTGGACCTGCACAAGCCTACGTGTGGGGCTGTGACCTTGATCCATGTAAATGGGACCCCTGTGGTGTACCAGGGTCTCCCACATGTCCCCCAGATGCCCCAAGAAACAGCACCAACATGGTCTTAACTCCCAGGCCATTCCCCCAGTGCAGCCCCTCGGCCTCTGCAGACATGGATCAAAGACCTGCCAACCCCCCCCCCAGCCCCCCAGCTCCAGGCAGGAGGTTGTGACCTTAGCCCCTGCAGAATGGACTGTGTAGTGAGTCAGGGTCCCCCTTCCCGCTCCCAGGTGCCTCAGGGGACAATGACAACATGATTTTACCTTCCAGGCCATTCTGCCTGCAGCAACCTCACCTCTGTAGACACTGGCCCTGGCCCAGCCCCGAGACTGGCCCAAAACCCCACTTCCCCAGATTTAAGCAGGGCCTGTCTGTGGCCAGGTCTGGGGGTGTTGGGGAAGTCTGGAGGGCCAGGGTGGGGGCAGAGGCTCGGGACAGCTGGCCTGTGTCCCCACACTGGGCCCGGGGCCCAGCCGGAGGGGCGGGGGCCTGGCCACTCAGGACTTGGCTAGGACTGGATTTTTGGCCGGGCTGCAGGGCCCTCCCTCCTGCTTCCTCTCCCGAGGGCTGTCCTGGCAGAGGCCCCCCTCACACTTTCTGGCGGGAACGGGGCCAGCAGTGAGAGAACAGCCACAGAGGGAGAGCGGGAGAGAGATGGGGAAAACTGTGTGTGTGTGTGTGTGTGTGTGTGTGTGTGTGTGTGTGTATGCGCACGCGTGAGTGACTATGTGTTTTAAGGAAAAAAGCCCACAGTCCAGTCCACTCAGACCCAGCCTGGGAGGATTGTGAGCCGGCCTTTCGTAATTGCCCCCCTCCCTGCGGCCCCCTCCCCCAGGCCTCCCCCTGCTCAGGCCCTCCTGCCCGCCCTCTCTCCCTCCCTTCTTCCCTCGCAGCCGAGGAGGCAGCAATTACGCTTTGGGGATAAAACGAGGCGCGGAGAGCAGGCTGGGCATTTCTCCCTGAGATGGCGGGTCCGACAGCTACAGCCCTGTGGCCTGGAGTCCTCCTGCTCCTGCTGTCCATCATCCACCCCTCGCAGCCTGGAGGTAGGCCTCACCCTGTTCCCAGAGCCGCCCGCAGCCCTCCATCCTCCCAGCCAGGTGTCTGGGCGAATAGATGAGAGGGTGCCCTTCACCCCCAGCATCCTCCAGGGTTCCCCGGCAGGAGCCCGGCAGTCACTGGATCCTTGGAGCTGCCCTTCCCAGGACCCAGCCCATGCTGCGGGGAACCTGTCACATAGATACCCCGCGATTTGGGATGGTCCCCAGAGTGTCCGGGTTCTGCCGCCCTGGGTGGAGGGAGGGCCCCCTGCTCCGTCCCTCGTGCTCTCCCAGTGGGGTGTTGGACGCATGCTGGGGAAGGACCGTTCCCATTGGGTCTGCAGGCACCTGCAGTTTGCACACCTGCGGACCCAGCCCAGTGGCACACGTGCCCTGCGGGTAGGGGACCTGAACTAGAGAGCAGCCAAAGTGACCGGTGTGGCTTCAGCAGGTTCCTTGTCCCCTGGGAAGGCAGGGACCGCTCTGAGGAAGGTCAGGGTTAGTTGACTATGGGGTTGTGGTTGGAAAGCTGCTACTGTGGTCTGTCCCTGGTGAGAAGGACTGGGACTTCTGAGTGTGTGTGTGAAGTGTGTGTGTGCATGTGCACGTGCGTACACATGCATACATGAATGAGTGTGTGGCATGCTCTTGCACAGGTGGGCATGGGTGTGTATGCCAAATATCTCATCAAATAGTGGAGAAGGTTTCTGGGATAAATGTCTGTTCGCAAGTTCATCCTTGGACAGGTGTGTGTGTGTGTTTGTGTGTGTGTGTGTGTGTGTGTGTGTGTGTGTGTGTGTGTATTTGTGTGTTTGGGGGGAGGAAGGTTGTAGGGTATGTGAAAGTGCCTGTTGGCATATGCAAAGGTCTGCCACCTGACAGGCTTATACACATGGGAGATCTGGTATCCAGGTGTGCATGTGAATGTGCATGTGAATGTGTGTGTGTGTGAGTGTGTGTGTGTGTGTGTGTGTGTGTGTGTGTGTGTGTGTAACACAAGGAGGACAGGGAAGCTGGGTAAAGTGTCCATCTCCTGGCAGAGGGAGTGTGGCCATGGCAGAGGCTGGAGTAGACCTCAGGGCAGTCCTGGACCATCTAGGGTGTGTCCTGCAGAGGTCCCAAGGGTACCCCTGCTACACACCCTGGGGGACCCTGGGAATGACCCGCCTTGGTGCTCCTGGCTCTGGGAAAGGGGAAGTGAAGGTTCACAAGGCATTTGGTAGGGTGTGCTGGGTGGGGTAAGGTTCCTGTGAGAGTCCTCCTTGCCATGAGAACCAGACCTTCAGTGGGGACCAGCACGGGAGGTCACAGGGTGGAGCAGGGCCAGGCAGGAGGGCTGGAGTGGGGGACCGGGGAGGAGCGGCAGCTGTTTCCGTGAGATTGACTTTCTGGACCAGCACTGCTGGGAATAGGAGCTTCCTGCACAGAGGTCACCGGCTCCTGGACCTGAACGGGGCTATGGGACGTGCGCACCATGAGGTGGAGCCCAGCGGGGGGAGTGAGACAGCCCAGAGGACCTGCCACCCAGCTGCCTGAGAGCAGCAGCTCTGGACCTGTCTGGGCCTCCCCTCTCCAAGGTGTGGCCCCTGAACACCTGCCTGCCTTCCCAGAACTCCCGCCTAGAGTGAGGCAGTTAATCCCCACAGGATCACCTTAACCCTGAGGGTTACCAATTACTGTCTTCACTTTACGATTGGGGAACTTGAGGTTCAGACAGGCTGAGGCAGTCCCAGGGGCTTTAGTACCAGCCAGCTCTCTGCCCCGGGCCAAAGGATGAGGGGGCGGGGGCCGGGGGCCAGGCAACACTTGGGGAAGATCCGGCCTGGGACTGAGCCCTCCAGGGTGGGCACTCCCTAGGGCAGCAGGCACCTTCTCCTTGTCCCCTCAGTGACACTGCGAAATGCTCCGCTGGCCTTGTTCTTTCCTTGCAAACATAAATCACAGCTCTGTCCCAGGTGGTGGAGGACTGGGTCCAAATAAGGGCTGTGTAAATTGATGAGGTATTCAGGGGCTTGTGCCCAGAGCCTACCAACAGCTAGAGAGGTCAAGCAATAGGGAGGCTGGACACACACACACACACACACACACACAGCCATAGCACTCTGGCTACGCTGGGGGAGCCCAGCTTCCCCCCCACCCCAAGACAGTGTCACCCCACGAGTTTCCCAAATCCCAAGAACCACGTTGTCAGTGGAGGCAAGAAAGAGAGGCTCCCCAGGATGGCTGTGCAATGGGAAGGGTTGTCTAGACCCAGTTAGGATGGGTCAAAAGCAACTTTGAGGTCCAGCTGTCCCAGACCCCCAGTACTATTTAAAGAGAGAGGGGAGGGGGGAGGAAAGAAAAAGAAATCAGGCATCTCCCCATCCCCCAGAAATATTATCACTTTTTTTCTGATTCCAGGACTGGGGACAATCTGGAAGAGGGTTTTCTTTTTCCTTTTTTGGGGGGGGTGGGGAGGCGGGAGGGGTTTTCAACCCTGGCAGCACATTGGAGTTACCCGGGGAACTAGGAACAATTCTGATGTGGAGGTCCCACCCAAGAATTCCTGCTTTGTTTGGTCTGTGGAGGGACACCTGACACGGAGGTTTTGTCAAGGGTGACTTTAGTGAGCCTCCAGGGCCCAGGACCTCTAGCTCAGGGGTTAATCCTGCTCTCTGTGTCCACTAAGGCCAAGGCAGGAGGGCAGACGTGCCCAGCGAGGGATCGAGTCACCCACTGGAGGACAGATGGTTTTTGAAAAGCCCTGGGCAGCCCTTCTCCATGCCAACAACAAACAGCTTCGTGTGGTCTTATCTGCTCCCCAGGTTGGCCCTCTGGACTTGGGCTTGGCAAAGCCCCTACCGAGGACCGCGGGCTCACTGCTTGCTCCCAAACAACCTTCTCCCAGATCTTTGAACTTGGAGCCCAGGGCCCAGACAGAAGGCCCCACGTGCGACTGGGTTCAGCTATAGGTCCCAGGCCAGGCACTTAATTTCACTGGCTCTTGGTTTCCCTGGCTGTAAAATGGGGAGAAACCTCCCTGCCCCACTATCTCCTAGGGCTGGTGGGCGTCTCCAGCAATGAAACAACTGCCAAGAATGTATCAAGGAAGAGGACTGTGGAAATGTGAATTTTTAAAACGATGTATCTTCTTATTCAGAATTTGCCAACTTGAGCTGCTCAACCCTTGTAATTCGTGCACAGTTATACGCTTTAATTTCCCTCCTGCTCTTCATGCCATGGTTTGTCTAGTGGGGAGCAGAGTTCAATGGTGCAGAAAGCAGACAGGACGAAGGCAGGGGGTGCCTGGAGGAGACCCAGGGAACCGAGGAAGGCTTCACAGCAGAGGTGACATTTGAGTTAGACCTTTAAAGAAAGGTCAGCATGTGGGGAGCTATCCTGGGATGACAGGTGAGCCTCGGTCTATAGGACTGTGGGAGGCAGAATTAGAGAGATCGCTGGGCAGAGTCTATCTTGATAGGAGGAAGATCTCTCTGCAGGTAGAGCTGACAGCATCAGAGGTGGTGATGTTCCTGTCACTGGAGGTGTGCAAGCAGGAGCACCAGGGGATGCTTGCAGAAGGAACTTCAGCCCAGGCCCGAAGGCCGTTATGACCCCTGACAGTCTAGGATCACGATTCTAAGATGCAAGAGACGAGTTCACCCTGGACTAGCCGGTGAAACAAGCCAAACCCACATAAAATAAGACAAGCGTGCTGCCGGCCAGCTGCTTTGGGCCAGCTAAGCAATGAGAGTCAAAGGCTGAGAGAAGGCAGGAGGGAGACTCTGAGCTCAGTCTTGGTGGAAGGGTAGGACTTGGGGAGAGGAGAAGGCATTTCTGGCAGGAAGGGAGACTGCTGCCCTTTTGAAGGCCCTTCTGTCTTATAGTCTCACCTCTCCTGCACTTGAAGAGAGAAGGCAGGGCAGGGCACCCTTTACACTCACTAAGCCTTCTCCATTTCCTCAGGGCAAAATGGGGATCAAAATCCACAGGTCCCCAGGCTGTCATGGTTCAGGCCCGGAGTTTGGCACGTGCTGTTGGGATTTGAATCATGGGGGTGGGGAGTGGGAAGAGGAGATGGGGAGGCGCTGGGGAGAGAGGAAGCAGAGGAGGAGCTGGCAGGCCCGGGAGGGGCTTGGTCACAAGCTGGTGTGGGAGAGCAGAACCCCAAGAGAGGAAGTAGGGGGGTCAGCCAGGCCCAAGGTGGGAGACCCCCAGGTTGGTTGGGGATAGAACAGGATGAATCCAGAGCCACAGGCAGCATCCTTGCCTCCCCTCCACCTAATTCACACATCATTTATTGGACATATCCTGTTTACCCGACCCCAAGCCGTGTGCTGCGCAGCGAAGTGGAGATGAGGGGTCACCATCCTTTGTTTGAGCCGTTACTGTGCGCCAGGTCCAGGGCAGGACGGCTCTCTTATTTGAACCCGCTGACAAGTTGCAACCACTTTGCGAGGCAGCAGTTATCAGCCCCACCTGGCTGAAAAGGAAGCTGAGGCTCAGAGGGGTTAAGTGACTTGCCCAAGGTCACACAGATGTGGCACAGCCAGGAGGAGAGGCAGATGGGTCCGTCCTGAGCCCCTTGTTCCCTCCACCCCCGGCCCTGCTCCTGCCATTGCTCTGGAGCTGGACAGGAGGGAGAGAGGCCGAGGCAGAGAAAGTCCTGGGGCGCACCGGGGTAGGGCACATAAGAAACAGTGCTCAGAGCTGGAGACCAGAGCCAGGGACGGCATCAAAGGCTCAAGACAGGCCATGTGCGTGCTTGGCAACACATGACAGGGCCAAAGCACTCATTCCCAGCCGGCCCACCCTCTTCAGGCCACCACTCTGAGCCCCTGAGGCTTTGACCAGATTGCTCGCACGCTCTAGGCCTGGATTGCAGTTCCTGGGGGACTGCAGGCCCTGGGGGAGGAGGATGGCGCCAGGACTTTGGCACGGAGTGGCTGTGACAGCTTGGCATCCCCTGCCCTGCCGGGCTGGGGCTGAGGCTGACAGGGCCCTGGGGCCAACAGACCCAGCTGTGCAGCATCACCAGGCCACGAGGCCAGATGTCTGTCCATGAGGCCTCTGGTCATACTGCAGAACTGACCGACACTGTCCCCCAACCCTGCCCGTGCCCTTTTCAGTGGGGTGGTGCTGGGGATGAGGCATTGGCAAGGTGGCTTATCAGGGTTGGGGCCATTCTCTGGTGGTGGAGTTAGGGCCTGGTCTGCACCAGGATCATCTGTTGCCATGACCAGGCATGGGTCTGGGCCCAGCACCACAGCATTCCCCAGTGAGTGTTTCGCCCGGCGGTGGGGACTGAACTCGTGATCTTGGCTGGGCAGACAGCCCCTGGCCTGGCCAGTGAACTCGCTTTTCCTTAGGAAACTATTCACTTTGCTCATTCATGGTGTCCCCCTCTGGGGCCCGGCGCCTCCTAAGACAGCCCTGTGTCAGACAGCCAGAACCCCACCCATCCACTGTTGCCCAGTGGCTGAGGACGCTGACCTCACGCAGTCCTATCAGTGTGGGAATGGCTGCATTTTTACTGGCAGCGGCCGCATTTCCTTACGGCTTACTTACAGCTCGGCCACAACCCTGGCCCCGGCCCATGCTGCTCAGGGCTGGAGACCGTTGGCTGCCCATCGAAAGGTCCTCAGACCCAGCTTCATGCCAGGCCCTCTCCAGGGAGAGGAATTGCCTGAGTTTTAATCCAGGCTCCATCTCTTTCCAGCTGTGTGACCCCAGGCACATCCCTCAACTTCGTTGAGCCTGATTTCACATCTGCTAAGATGTAAATAATAATCCTAGCCCTTCCCACCTCGCAGAGCATAAATGGAAAAAAAAAATGCTTCGAAAACAAAAATTGCTTTGCAGATTTCCAACAACATCATCGACAACATCATCATTCTCATCATCATCATCATCACATTGTTACCATGTTTTTATTAGTTCTGGCTAATAGAGGATTCTACCTACTTCCTTCCAGGGGTCCCAGGAGCTATTCCTGGAGGACTTCCCGGAGGACTTCCCGGAGGACTTCCCGGAGGAGGCTTTTTTCCAGGTAATGTACATGAAACCTCCCCATACCCAGGAGAGGAAGCTTGTGAGTACATCCGTGAAAGATGCACATTGCGGAAGGGAAGAACATTGTCATGCCTACCACAGAAAACCCACAAGTCACTGCTACTTAGAAAAGCAGTTTGCGTGACACTGTCTTACCACTAGTAAGAGCATAAATCTTCTGAAAGATGAAACAATGCTTTTGAGGCTATAGGAAAGTGAGTGCTTTCACGCACTCCTGCCATTCACAGTCTTCCAACCATTAACCCCACTTTGGAAATCCACTTAGAGGAAATAATTGAAGAGGAAAAGAATGATCTTCAATGAGGTTCATAGGTGTGGTGTTTGCAAAACTGTAAAGCAAGAAACCCACCTGACTGGAGGGTGTGATTAAGTAAACTCGGAAATATTACCCAGTTACTAAAAAGTATGATTATGTTATCTGTTGTGCAATATGGTGACATGTTTTTCAAGTAAAAACAGCATAAAAGCAATGACCATGTGTAGGTGGAGACTGGGAGGCCCCCCCACCAAAAGAAAATGGGGAGCCCTAACCGGTTTGGCTCAGTGGATAGAGTGTCGGCCTGTGGACTGAAGGGTCCCAGGTTCGATTCCGGTCAAGGGCATGTACCTTGGTTGGGGGCACATTCCCAGTAGGAGGTGTGCAGGAGGCAGCTGATCGATGTTTCTCTCTCATCGATATTTCTAACTCTCTATCCCTCTCCCTTCCTCTCTGTAAAAAAACTCAATAAAATATATTTTTAAAAATGGGGAAAATGTTGGAGCAATGCCATTTAGAAAAAAGCATAATGTTTTAAAGTAGATTGAAAGATCAAAGTCATATTTTTAATACTTAAGAAGCATTGGAGTGTTCAGAACTGACATGGAAGTGAGGGCAGCTACCAGCACGCTCTCAGGCACAAACTAGCACAGGGCTATTGGCCCTATGAGACAAATGAGGAAATTAAGGTTCGAAAAAGTTAAGGCTTGCCTGAGGTCCTGTAGCTAGGCAGTGATGGATTTGACCATGGGTTGATGGGTGGCTTTCTGGCAGGGGCACTGATCTGACAGGGGCACTGATG